GAGTCCCGGGATCGAGTCCCGCATCGGGCTCCCTGCTCGGCGGGGAGTCTGCTTCTCCCTCTGACCCTCTTCCCTCTCGTGCTCTCTATCTCTCACTCTTTCTCTCTCAAATAAATAAATAAAGTCTTTAAAAAAAAAAACAAAAACAAACCTCGTTAGTCAAATTAGAAAGGAACTTTATAGTTCTTGAAAGGTGCCTAAAACTGCAGTGGCCTGCCTTTTTGAAACACTGAGTTGTGTCACTGAAGGTATTAAAGGGTGGGTTGGGTGGCTACTTGTCAGCAACCACAGTAGATCCGAGCAGCTTGCAGGATCTAGATGATTAGAGGTGGAGATAGCAGTGGGTCTTGTGTCTTGGGATTGCAGAGCGGGAATGGACAATTGGCAGAACCTGGCTACTATGGCCTTGGGACAGTTATGGTACTTTGGGAACAGAAGGTATCACAGCTTTGACCAATGTCTTCAGACTCCAAATGCCTCTCTGGTACCTTGTTCAGATCAGAATCTGTACGAAAACCAAAAGCATTAAGTTTTAAGGCTTTCTTCCTATGTAATCAGTGATAATTATTTCCTGTGGATTGATAGATTCTCTTGTGCCTCCTCCCTTCAAGATTGTATTAAAATTTTGTATGTGGGGCACTTGGCTGGGTCAGTCTGAAGAGTGTGTGACTCTTGATCTCAAGGTCATCAGTTCAGAGTTCCACATTGGTTGTAGAGATTACTTAAATATTTAAAAAATAAAATAAATAGAATTTTGTATGTATGTACATACATGGAATTTTTTGAGAAGAGGCTTTTTAGCTTTCGTTAGATTCTGTGATTAAAAAAAAAAAAAAGTTATGACACAACCCCTGGGTTTGACCCCTGAAGGTCAGCCTTACCCTGAAGGTATAGTGGTCAGCTCAGACATAGGCACTTTAATTAAGCAAGCTAAAGAATTTTATAAAGAACTTTTGTACTTCAGTTAGGGTCATTAAATCATGTTTCTTTGATTCATGAGTTTGATTCAAAGATCTGAAAGGCCTCCTTTAAATCTAAGTGTAAAATTCATCTGTCATTCTGCACTAACCTTTTAAAAGAAAATAAAGAGTGTATGCTATGAAGGGAATTATATCCTGATGTCACAGAAACTTATATCCTTTTAGGGAATTATATCCTGATGTCACAGAAAACTTTCTGCATCTGTGACTTAGTTTAGGCTGGTATTAGACAAATTATCTCAAGATTGGTGCCCTCAATGTTTATACCTCATTCTAAAAATGAAAAATTGTTATTTTGGCCATTTTAAAAAATCCAGGTTGAAAGCTTGAAATCGAACTTGAAAAATTTATTGTAGTTTTGTTAAAAAAATTTTTCAAACCTGTATAGTGTTTTTTATTTTATTTTTTTAGTGGTTTTTTTATTTCAAAGAGTTAATATGTAAAACATTAGGGATAAAGATTATAAAAATAAGACATCAAAGAATAAATTTATAAACTAATTGTATTCAAAAATTTTGTAAGGAAGAGGCCCAGTTTTACGGGATTCCCTTATGTTCTGGAGATCAAGAAATTTTTTTTTTTTAAAGATTTTATTTATTTGTTGGAGAGAGAGAGAATGAGAGAGAGCACGAGAGGGAAGAGGGTCAGAGGGAGAAGCAGACTCCCCGCCGAGCAGGGAGCTCGTTGTGGGACTCGATCCCGGGACTCCAGGATCACGACCCGAGCTGAAGGCAGTCGCTTAACCATCTGAGCCACCCAGGCGCCAGGAGATCAAGAAATATTAAAACTGGTCTTCTAGGGGCACCTAGGTGGCTCAGTCACTAAGCGTCTGCCTTCAGCTCGAGTCATGGTCCCAGGGTCCTAGGATTGATCCCACATCAGGCTCCCTCGCTCGGCAGGAAGCCTGCTTCTCCCTCTCCCACTCCCCCTGCTTGTGTTCCCTCTCTCGCTGTGTCTCTGTCAAATAAATAAAAATCTTTAAAAAACAAAACAAGGGGCGCCTGGGTGGCTCAGTTGGTTAAGCGACTGCCTTCGGCTCAGGTCATGATCCTGGAGTCCCGGGATCGAGTCCCGCATTGGGCTCCCTGCTCGGCGAGGGGCCTGCTTCTCCCTCTAACCCTCCCCCCTCTCATGTACTCTCTCTCTCTCTCTCTCTCTCATTCTCACTCTCTCAAAATAAATAAATAAATCTTTAAAAAAATTAAAAAAATAAAATAAAAAACAAAACAAAACTGTTCTTCTACTCACTAGTATTCAGAACTTAGTATCAAGGATTCTAAATGCCAGAGATGCTTTGTTCCACTGCGTTTTGCGCTTTATAAGTGTCTTTTCTGAACTTTTTTTCTTTTCTGAACTTCTCTGTACAATTAAATATTACCTTTCTGTAGAAATTCATATTAGTTAGAGGATAAGGAATTTATTGTTACATGGAACTCACTGGAGTCTCCAGCCAGCAGCTCTATGAGCTTGGAGGGAGGAATAGACTGATTTCTGAGTTTCTTTTCACTCTTATTCTATGAGTAAGAAGAACGTAGAAGTTGAGCTAGATCAGGTTAAATAATAACCCAGAGAAAAAAGTACAGATTGGGGAATTCAGGAGTAACTAAAAAGAAAGGTATGGAGTTGATGTAGAAAGTTTAAGGAATGTTTCTGAATATAGCCTTTATAAAGAAGTCCTTGAAGTGTGTTATGTTCTTGCTGTAAATAATGAAATAGAGTACATTTATGTTGGAATTGCATGTTCAGATGGAGTTAGGTTGTGAGGTTGGCACACATGACAAAAGTAGATTTTAGTGAAAAT